CTGTCCTTAAATATTTGAAAGAAAAAAACACCACCTAAGGTATTTAAGTAAATGGATTTTTTTCTCATTAATATAATATTTAAATACTTACAGCCTTATCTTAATTACATGAAAGATGACCCACCTACCTCTCACCACCCCAGCCCTGTGGGACAAGGCCCATTTAATGTGATGTGAGGAGGTGGCAGCAGCTCCTGCCTCTGAGCAGGGCTGGGCTCCCAGCAGCAGCCCCAGACACATCCCACAGGCAGGAATTAAACGGAACAGGGGGCAGAATCTGGCTTTCCCACTAAAAATATTCATGGAGGAGCAATAAATGATAAAGATTTTGAGCATCTACAAGAGAGCAAAGCCCTAATTTTGGCCTGTGCCCATTGCAGAGGCTCTGCTGTAACAGCAGCTCCAGGTTTGGAGCAATTGCACAATGCTTGTGACACAGAGCCACCCAAGGAGTCCAGCTCAACCAGATTCAGCTGTCCCCCAAAACAAACATTTTTGTCCACAATACTTTTTAGGCAGTCATGAAAAAAACCACCCAAACCCTTCAGTTTAAAGATTCAGTGACATCACAAGACCATTCAGCTTTCCATCAGAAGTGCTGCATTTGTTGTCATCCTGGTGCCACAAAGGATTTCACCAAGCAGAGCCAATAACACATCTCATGATAAATAAGACCAAAACACCCTGCAGGCAAATTTATGGAAATCATCACTCACAGGCAAGTGTGATTAAAAGCACCAAGCTAACTCCAGAAGCAGAGAGGGATCTGCTCCTCAGTGCAGTCCCTTCCAGGGCTGTCTGGGTGAGCTCCAGGACAGGTTCCTGCAGCAGGGCTGGGCTGTGCTGCCTCTGCTTGGCTGCTCCCCTTTGCCTCCACCCAGCACAACAGCTCCATTTGCTGACTGGCCAAAGAAAATGCTTCTCCTGGGGAAAACACCAGAGTGGTGCTGAACCTCTGGTGGTCTGGGGGTGGTAGAGCTGTCAAGGTGAGTTTGTGACTGGGGAGGTTGGAAAAGCTGGTGAATCTGTACATACAGCCAGAGCTCCTGAATGTGGGCAGCAATCAACCAGGGAATGGTGCTTCCCCCCATGGGAGACAAGAGCACAGGAACAGCAGCTCCCTCCACAGAAAGCCCTGCTGGATGTGGCCCTTGACAAAGGTAAGGGGCTGCTATAAAAAGCCCAGCTATTGAATATCCCAGAGCTCACTGGAAGCAGTATTACACAGATTTCCACTCCTCTGGGCACAGTCTGCACCAAGACAACATGCCTTGGGACTTCATTACCCTTTCATGGGAGAAGAAGAGAGGGGTAACACAATACAGAAGTTTGAAAGAATTAAATGGAGGGACCATAGGTTAAATCTTCAAAGATTTTCAGAAAATCAATTGCAGCTGTACCTGGAACTGGGCATTCTGTAATTATGCTTTCACAAATATATCATGTACCCAATATTTACAGCTAAAATCCTCGTCTGTCTAAAGGAAACACTGCACTGCAGTGTAGGAACACCAGCCCCCAGTGTGCCACATTTCACTGCAGGCTCTGAGACAAATCATGGCAAGCAGCAAGGGCTGTGCAATGGGACAGAGCTCACACCACGGAACCAGAACTTCCCAGCAATGCTGGCAGAGAGAGTTACTCAGAAAAGCAATAATTGATTCTTTCTAGAAAGCTGAATATTAATACCATTTCCTTTGGATTCAGTGGAAACAACACAAGAAAAATAAATACATATTAAAATACCCCAGAAGTTTGCTGAGGAGATGTGGTGAGGCCCTGCCCTGGGGTGCCCCACACAGATTCAGAGAAGTGTTGCCATCTTACTGCAAAGCTCCCATACCTTCTTGGTGATTCCTCATGGGCAGCTCCTCACAGCACAGCCAACACACTCCAGCTCTCTCCTCACCCAGCTCACCCACGCTTTTATAGCACTCAGCCTCATTGGACACAGCTGGGGCCTGTTAAGGGCAGGCCTGCTCCTAATCTTTGGTAATTAGCACAGCTGCAACTGAGCCAGGCCACAGGGTAAGAGAGGCAGCCCAAAGTGAGCACTGCTTCTGTCACTCATTGTTCAGTCACACACACAGAACACTCTGTCACCTGCCCAGCCTTCAAAGCAGAACCTTACCAAAATCACCCTCCAGCAGAGACCCAGCAGGACCCCACAAACACACAATGCAAAGATTTACAGTTTTAAAAGTACAGCAGGGATCCCATCCCATCCCACACCAACTCCCCAGGGAATCAGACACTTTGCACCATCCAGGAAAACCTGCAGAGCTACATGGCTAATACACTTTGCTGCATTGAAAGAGAATTGTAAATGTTGTTATTTGCTCCACCAGAATATCAAAGAGGAAACACAGCCAGAGCTCCAGTGAGAAACAGATCCATACCTTGGCAGTTGTCCAGCAGGGGTGCGGCTTGGATTCATTCACAGAGAGGCAACAATGGAAAAGTTCAAGCACAAGTCCTTTTCCCAATTATTCAGAAGCCATTAAAGTTGGAAACAAAAAAATCAAAAAGTTTTCTTCTGCAAACAGCTCCCCCAGCATGGCTGGCACCACATAACTCATGAAGGATGAATATTGAGTCTGCCTCCTCTGCCAAGCCCACACAGCAGCTCCCAGAAGCACGAAGAGAGTAATTAGCAGCAAAGGATGACAACATGAAGGTAACAGGTCAGAAAGAAACGCTCCAGAGCAGATCTAGGGGCTGCTTTGCTTCCCCCAGCCAGCCTGGGGGAGTGCTCCCACCTGAGCACATGGTGATGAGCCAGGCTTCCATCCACCATCCTTCCTTAAATACACCACAGAACCTTCACCAATAACAGCTTCTCCCACCTGTTAGGGAGAACTCACATTTCTGAGTGCACACCACAGCTGAGTGCCCTGATTGCTCCCTAACCAGCCCCACATGAGCTCAGTCCTGCTCCTGTGGCCCCTCCCTGTACTTCCCTCCTCACCTGGCACACATCACCACAGCCAGGTGCTGCTTGAGAAATTCATGGCTCTAGAGGGTGATTTTGACCTCCTTGATCATAAAGTGGTTCCACCTGAGCTGATGATCAAATCTGAAGTGCGCTTAGTGAAGGAAATATTTGTGTATTGCTGGTCTAGTTTAGGGGCTGGCAATAATGATGTAGGGTAACAAAAAAAGAAAAAAATCTACAGGCAACTACAAATGGTGGTGGGCTCAATGAACACCTAAAAATCTGGGGGATGGATTTGTTCCTAGTGACAGTAAGAAGGGAGGAAATAGCCTGTCCTATCCAGCATCCTTGATGTCTATACTAATGCAAGAGTCAATAACCACAATTTTGATTAATTACACCAGGCAAGTGGAGGTGCTGATTCCAATGGAAAGGTGAGATGCTCACATGTGTGTGTGAGCCCTGCTGACACACAGGCTGAGGAAACATCAGGATCATCAGTGATTTCTTTGGAGGAAGATGAACCACATGGCCTCTCCTGCCCTGTCTGTGAACTGGGTGAGTTTACGTGGGGCCTGGGCATGTTGGTGCTCAGCCATCTGAAAAAGAAATATTACAAAACCCCCACAGCTTTGGGGCATTTTGGGTCTTTATGGCATTTGCACACAGAGAGGTTTTTCTCATTCCTTTCTATTTGGGAACATTTGCTCTCCAGACTTGCAGATGTTCAGTGCCACTTTTGTCACTTCTCTCTTGTCTTGCTAATCATGGAATAGTGTCAAATCTTGTAAAATTTCCCTTCCCTTTTATGAGTTTGAACTTGTCATTTTAATAACAAATATCTGTCCACCCTTGTATAAAGCCACAATTACAGATTTCTGAGATGTTTAGATAAAGCAGTCATTATTTTTATCGTGACCCCTCCTTCCCAAACAAGCATGGCTAATCTTTTCAAAGCAAGCATGCCTAATCTTTCCAGGCTCTCTTCAAGGCACTGCATTATCATGACCCAATTATTCCTGAAAAAGATAGCTGGGAAATTTCTATCAGGATTATTTGCTCACAGAAAATGCAGTTACCACAAATCCAGTGATGCCTTCATATCAGTTAGAATGGTTTTCTGTGAAGAAAATTCAGATAAAATATTTCCTGGCCTATCAGCTTGATGAAATCTTGTTTGTTGCTCCATTCTTTCCTAATTGGATAAGCACAGGTCTGCATTAACCCAAGGAGTGCTGGTGATGGCTGGGAATTGCAAGTCATGTATTTAATTTCAACAGGGCAGAACACTGTTTTAGTTTTCATTTTCTGACTTTCACTTTGGATTCCCCAGATAAACAAAAGTAAATTTCATTTAATTTCTTAATTTCTTGAAGTCAACCAAAGAAAAAAAAGAGTAAGTGGTCTGTGGCACTGGTTTCTGCACCTCTGCACCTTTGTGAATGCTCTCAGCAGAGGCTGGGATCCCCTCTCACTGCTCTGTCCCAGGAAAACAAGGTCTCACCCACTGACAGGACAGGATTTTCAAGAGCTCAGCAGGGCTTTGAGAAATTCTAGCTGCTTGGAGGTGCCTGAAAGGTTTTCAAATTGCAGTATATTTGGGATTATTTCTGTTTCTCAGTGTTCTGACTTTAAAGCAGGCATATTACAAACAAATAGACACTCTCAGAGGTTGTGTCACCCCTATCAGATTGCTGTGACATTAATGAAACTGCCTTCTGGAGAGACTGGGAAGTTTGACATAAACCTGTCCAACCTCAAGGCAACACCAGGGTATGTTCAAGGGAATTTTTCCCATTTCCAAGGCAGCAGCACAGCATTCTGCCAGGGACTCAGCCCCAGGGACTGCAGTGGTCACTGTCTGTCCCTGAAAAAGGAATGTGCATTTTATCCTGAGCACTGAATGGCCATTCACTTTGCTGAAATGTTATTTCTTTTTATAACAGCTTAAAGGAAGGAAAAAAGGAGAAGGAACCCAGTGCTGCCACTGTGGAAAGCTTTTATTGTAATCAACCTTACAACGCTTTTTGTTGTACAATACAAAGAACATTTAATCTGTCCTGGCTGGCACATTCCCTCCAGGGTTTTGCTGCTGACAATGGGAGCTTTCACTTTGACCATGCCAAAAATAGTGTCAAACCCACTGCAAGGCACTGCTTTTACTCTGGACACATTTGGGAAGTTCTAAAGAATCAATGACTTCATGGTATGAGGGAAAAAATAGGAGTTACAGTTGGAGAGACTTCATGCATTTCCTCTAAGTTTTGCTTCACATGAATACCACCATCCCTAAAATGTGTTTAACATTGATGTTGCAAATGCCTGCATGGTTTGTTTTAACTGTTTGATTAATTAAAAGAAAAAAAAAAAAAAACAAACCAAAATAATGAGACAAGATTTCCATAGCACTTGTTCTTCCTAATTTTCCCCAAAATCTCTGAATGTGTGGTCTCAAGGCACTCCAGGTAGATAGGGAAGAGACAACAGAGGTCTTGGAGTGGAGCCACCAAGCCAGCACTGAACTGTTTGTAGAACTGAAACTCAGCTTTTCCTTCTTTTTTTCATGTTAGTTTAAAGGAAAGGGAAACAGTTTGCACCTAACAAGTTTTTGCCTGGATATTTTCTAAAGCTCAAGCCAAACTCAGCCTCTGAGTTTTGGAAAAGGTTGTTAGAAAGTTGCAATTCAAGAAATTCCTCTGTACTTCCAAATTTGTGCCAAGCTTTTAGATGGCTGGATGGAAAATCCCCAAAAGGATTTGGTTTTGTTCACAGAGAGCCAAACAAGTGATTTCCCATCTGGATGCTTTCTTTGCAGCTGGGAGAAGCTGACAACAAAGTGTAGGTGTGGATTGAGGCCAGCTGAGAGTGAAGGCAGGGGCAATGAGCAATGTGCATGTCCAGCCCCAGGAGCCACAAACACCTTTTCTGTCTAGAGGAACCCTTTGGAACACCACAAACTCTCTCAGCTGATTACATAAGTTCCTCTGCTCACAGCAGCTGTGTTTTCCACACTAAAGGACATTTCAGATCAGCATCCAGATTAAATCTGCAAAACCAGCAAAGCCAGATGAAGCTAAGTTTGTATTTTCACTCTCTGCCAGAGTGGAATAAAAAAGGATATTAGAGATAGAAGAGTAAATTTGTTGAGATGTGTGTGAAGCTCCTGGTGAGGCTCATGGAGAGGATCCCAACAGGTGCTAAGGCTGTCACCTTCCAACATTATCCTGCCGGTCAGAGAGAGACTGTGGCACTTTTCTGCTTTGTGTGGGACAGTGCTGCTCTGAGAGCAGCAAATAATCAGAGTGAACACAGAGTTAGCCCAGGGACTGACTGATTCTGGCATAAACTGCTCAGGAAACATTTCTGCATGTGGCACACACAGCGTGTCAAAACCAGGCATGCAACTTCCTAGCAGCATACAAATAAAAATTAGGTCACAAAATAGGTCAAAAAAAAAAAAATCCCTTCTGTTGGACAGTGTCTCATTCAGGGTTTTGATGAACCTTGGTTGGGATCCTTATGGAATAAAGAAGGCAGAATAAGAAGGTCTAGGAGAAACTGTGTTGGATAAGCTCTCATTGCTCTGAGAGGTGCTAGATAGTAAATAATCCATCTTGGAGAAGCTTTGAGAGGCTGGAGAGCTTTCCCATCTGCTAGAGATGTTTCTTAGTCTTGACTTGGATATCAATGCAGAAGGCAGGTCACACTTAAACTGCTGCTCTGTAGCCTTCTAGATGATAGGTAATTACTCATAAATGTGTCCTACAGATGCTCCAGGGATCCATCTGCACATGCCTGCCTGAGAGCTGATGGTTCTGGTTGAGTTCAGAAGAGACCAGAGCTGTGTGAGGAGTGGCAGATTTAGGGGATGCTCAGTAGTTCAATTTTGCAGGCTCTGAATGGAAAATAATAAAGCAACGATAAGGCAGCTGGTAATAAAATTACATTTCTTTTTGGAAACCAAAGAATTGTAGAGCTATGGAAGAGCAGGTAGCTTGCCAAGTGGGCACAGCCAGCCCAACCTCCAGCTCCAGGACTTATGGCCACCATGAGGCTGAGACATGCCTGGCCACCCTATAAAGAATCCCACCACCCTTTAATGGCATATCCCTGGGCTTCAGAACATTTTTGAGTGGAAAGTGGATTTCTCTGGCCATCCATGCTCAGTCTGCTGTGGTAGAGCAGCACTGTTTGCCCATCCCCTGGCACTGGTGAGCAGCCTGGCTGCTGCTGAGACTCTGCTGGTCCCTGCAGCCCCCTCAGCAGATGGGCTGGGCTGGCACAGCCTGCAGGGACCAGGCTGGGTGAGATGCAGGAGGTGTGTGGAGGTGGGAGCACAGAGCATACAATCATCTATTTCGACTGACTGGAGACAAGCAGAGAAATAAAGGAGCTCCCAAATCACCCAGGATAAGTTAGGACACACTGCTGCTTTCCCTGAAATTAGCAGGGAGGCTTGCAATTAATCCAACACAAAGAGACTTGTGCACTGACCATCATTTCTCTGCTGCTGGAGAGAACTGCTTGGCAGCTTTCTGGAGAAGGAAAACTCTGTAGCTGAGACAAAGCACACAGGTGGGCAGGCAGTTGTGATAAAACCACAGGGAACGGGGAAAATGAGAACCATCTCATGCAGGACTTAGAAATGGAATAAACAGGTTATTTTTACAGGATGGAAATGAATATATAACTCCAGGGATGAGGAAAAATACAGCAAGCACCAGCATTTGCAGTTCAGCATATTCCATTGCTATTAAAAATAAAGGAAGAAAAAGGCAATGAAAGGAGTATTTTGAGAGGCAGACAGGACTGTGGTATCTGTAGTTATGGACTCTGCCTTCTGCATAGCCCACAGTAATGAGGGATGTGACCCCTAATCTGCTGCAGAATTGCTGGGCATTTTCTACTGCCATTGAGATGCAGAATGGGAGCTGCTCTTGCTCTCACATGGACACTTGGACAATTCTTCTTTCTTTGCAGTTTCAGCCAACCCACACTAACAGTCTATTGGACTGGCATTTTCTTTGTCTCTTAGGATGGAAAAATGGAATTGATTCCTCTGAGAAGGAAGGGAGCAGGTATTCATTATCATAAGGTGAATTTATAAAGTTCTGGTTGTTTCAGCTCTTTCCCTTCATTTTTTCAGCTCACTCCAGGTCATTGAATCTCTTGCATCTTATCCCATTGGATGGAACAGCACATCACTCAACATTATTAACCACAGCCAAGATGATTCTTAATATTGAAAATTAGCGGCAAAAAGTGAGCAATCACCTGAAAAAGCGTTTCTCCACTTGAGCTTTATGACCTGCAACAGAAAGTTTTGCAATGAACAGCAGCTCTTTGTCACTTGGAATGGTTCTAAAACTGTTGCTGCTGTACTTTTCCACCACAGTGAAATCAGTGGTATTAACCTCAGGGCACCCAAAGAGCTCAGGTTAGAGGACCAGACCTCCTGTACTGGTAAAGCACAGGAACCACATCCATTTTAACACCCCCAGTGCACTGATCTGTCCTCATAATCAGCTTGTGGGAATAACTTCCCTGCAATGTGTAAGTAGCTGGTGCTGGATAGTGAGTGGCCAGAGGGCTGGAGATAGCATTTGGTGCTGGCATGGGGCTCTAAATTAGAAACTTAGAGAACCACTTCGCTTTTTTCATCCCCATTTCTTTTGCTTTTCAGCATGTGGAAGATCAGATGAACACACAGCACCCTGAGAAGACCCAGGGCTTTCTGCACAGAGCATTCTCTGAGGTCAGAAGCAGAGCAGCAAGCACAGGGTGAGCTGAGGCTGCTCTGAGCCCTCTGTGCTCTGAGCGTCTGGAATTCTCTCCTGATAAGCAGAGGCTGCATGGCTGTACCCTATTCCATCCATACCCAAGTGCTGGCAATTGAAAATGACCATCCCAAAAATAAGACAAGATGTCATTAAGTCTCATATGCACTTTCTTTTCAGGTTCCTAACATCAATTATTCCACTTGTCTGTAGTGGCTTCAGACTCTTTTATCTTCCTCTCAGTGGATTTCTCTGCTGCTTTGCATTTAAATTCACCTTGTCTTCCTAAATGCACAGACAAACTGTAAGCAATGAATGAGCCAGGCAAAAACAAACATGCTGTTATTTTCTTGGCTTTCTCTGCCATCCTGAGCAAAGGATGTTTCTATATCCCTTTGAGAAAGCCATCCAATGATGAATAGTTATTTGAAAACAAATGGGTAGGATTGTACCAGCCACCTACTTCTCAGCCTTCGAAAGAGTAGGAAAATCCACCCATCCATAAATATTTTTCAGGATGATAGTTGTGAAAATAAAGTAGGCTGGAACATTCCCTATCAGGCCAGGCTGCAGCATTCAGCTTATATCAATTACTGTCTATTTGACATGCTTCATGCTCCCTTCATTAACAGGATGAAAGGTTTTATGGGATAATAACCCAGTTCCAGTGAGCAAATGTATTTGTGAGACCAAAGGCTGAGTCCTTTGTCCTTGCAGAAGGAGCCTTGGGACTGCAGCAATTGGCAATGGTGTGGGATGATAAATCACAGGAGCAAAACTTCTGTCCCACAGAACTCTGTCCCATCCATGAATCACTGGGGACACAGGATCCTCACTGCAGGAAAGCTGAGGGAGCAGAGATCATCTTGGTGAGGATGCTGCTACAGGAGGGAAATAGAAGAGCCATTGGCTTCAGCTGGATACTGATGCTGCTGTAATTGGAGTTACTGTCCTGTTAAATGGTCCCTCGTGGTTTCCTCATCTCAATCAAGGTTTGATTTAAAACCTGTGACCTGAATTTGTGGTCATTACCTTACCAGAACTTATTGGTTTTCTTGCTCTTCGGGCAGTAGGCAGATGGTAATTGTTTCCTAAAACATTTCTCAGCTGAACAGCAGTGACAAACACTCTTCTCACCTCAGAACATCCCAGAGCACATTACAAACTGCCTGGACAAAGAGGACAGATGTGTTTTCCTTGGATCTGGCAGGAGCCATGCAATAGCCACTCTCATCAGGGAAAAGGAATGCTTGACTAATGGAAAATAATCATACCTGGCTTTGCAGCCCAGCTGTCCCACACTGCTAATCAAATTACCAGTAGGCATCCTCTGCTCCTTCTGCCTCAGCTAATTACATGGAAAATCTCCTGTCCCAACACAACCAGAGCAGACTGTGAGTAAGACTGGAGGAGGGTGTGCACTAAGGGATTGCTAACAAGGGGCAAAGACTCTTTAATGCTCTCCATTCCTCAACTGGGGCCAGCTGAGTTAGGACCTAGTGTGTGTCCCCTCTTGCAGCCTGACTTTGCTGGGTGCAGAGAGCACAATTTTCCCCCTGGCTGTGGTTTCTGGCTGTGTGGGACAGGACTGCATGTCAGGTTCTTGCTGCTAGGCTCTATTCCAGTTCACACAACCCATGCACCATAAAAAGAACAAAAACATCCACACAGATCAAGTATTATCACACAGTGGCATCAACATATCTCATTGTACAGTCCTAATCTATGTTCTGTATAAAAATGTGGTATTCAAAACCCCACCATGTGAGATATAACCTGAGAGAAATCACAGAAAGGACTTAAGAGGGGTCTGTACTCATGGCAGATGAAATCAAATTAGTAATACAGAAATTACTTACTTTAAAGCTCAGACCATGAACTGAATTTAGAGCTCTAAACCAGTGTTTACCTTGTTGAACAGTGGGTTCTTGCAGGAGAGCATTTACTACAAAACCAAAGCTTTTAATCCAAATCAGTGAGTGTCAGAGTTTGAATTATGGCTGTAGGAGAAAGTCTTTTGTTTCTGTCACCTCCTTAGTCAATGCTAATTTGACCAAGGTGTGAATGAGTTAGTGCTGCTCCCAAGAATTCTGTGACATGCAAGGAGCCACCTTCCCCCGGCACACAGAGCCTTTGGAACTCCTTTTAGACATCCTCAGAGGGTCTAGATGACAAATCTGCCTTCAGATGATGGAAGACAGGCTAGTAACTTGCAGGATATTTATGTCAAAGAGCAAAGTCATGGCTACAACAAAACAACTGAAGAAAGGAGAGATGCACAGTGGACACACACTGAAAGTTTCTACTAATCTGCTCCAAGGTGAGACTGAAGGACAGCAACCGTGGCCAGCACAGCAGAGGAAGAGCACATCAGGAGATGGGAACAGAAGATTTGGGAGACAAGGTCATTCTGTACAGGGGTGGTGTGAATTGCAGAGCCACCTCAGGTGGGGTGAATATTAGCTCACTGCAGCACTTGCTCCATAAAGCATTATTTACTAAAATACGTATTTTTTTAATTTTTATGGTCTGTGGTTATTTTGTGCAGAACCCACAGTCTCACTGGAAGCTTCTGCTTGAAAAGTCTCCTTTAGCATCTCTCAGAATTGGGAGAGATGCTAAACCGGCATGGCAAAAAAAAAAAATAACAATCATTTGGGAGCAATTTATATCCTGCTGTTATAGACTCACAAACACTCATTTCCATACCACCTACAGTTATGTGTGCATCTCTTTGTTCTGATATTGAGAAAAAACCCATTTGTATTCTCTCAATACAAGCAATCCTTGGCTTGAATTTTTAGTTGGTCAAATAATGCTAAAGAAGGAAATATTGGAATTTCTGCCTGTGCCATGGGACTATTCAGGCAGGCAAACTCTATTACAGCCATGGTCTTATCAAAGGAAAGCTGAATCTCCTCATTAAATCTTGGTTGTTGTTGTTGTTATTTTCAAGAAGAGAGCCTCTCTACTGCAGGCAAAAAGATGGAGAATGTGAAAAGCAGTGGTGGCAGCCTGCAGAGGAGCTGTGTGTGGGGCCTTGCCAGGGGAAGGGGACAGACACTGTGACCGTGTTCACACGGGTCTCAGGTTGGAGGATCTGACTCCATGTTTCAGAAGGCTTGATTTATTAATTTATGATATATATTACATTAAAACTATACTAAAAGAATAGAAGAAAAGATTTCATCAGAAGGCTAGCTAAGAATAGAAAAAGAAAGAATGATAACAAAGGTTTGTGGCTCAGACTCTCTGTCCAAGGCAGCTCACTGTGATTGGCCATTAATTAGAAACAACCAACATGGGCCAGTCAAAGATGCACCTGTTGCATTCCACAGCAGCAGATCATCAATGTTTACATTTTGTTCCTGAGGCCTCTCAGCTTCTCAGGAGGAAAACTCCTAAAGAAAGGATTTTCCATAAAACATGTCTGCGACAAGCCACCACTGCAGTGTGGCACTGCTCAGCATCCAGATGTGGGGACAGCCACATCTGCTGGGCCCCAGCTGTCACCTGCATCCCCTCTGGATTCTTGGGATTAGACACCAAACCCAGTATTTGGCTCATGGACACAATCTGGCATCCCTCTGTCTCACCTGCACAGGAACCAATCAAGCAAAAATCCACACATGCACTTTTAGTCCTGCCTGTGAGTCACCTCTGGACATCACAAATTCAGCCAGGAAAGCTTCATTTGACAAGGACACATGTCAAAGCTCACCTTTCCAGAAGGATGTCCAAATTCTGAACCAATAATTAAAGCAATTAAGAGCACACTCAATGGAAGTGGCATTGAACCCGATTTTGTGTAATGGTTTTTAATTATTCTTTGCATTCTTGGGCAAATATTTTAGCCTGAATGCAGCAGAATATCCAGAACTAAGTCCTACAACATGTGAGGTGCAATGCTAGAACAGAGCTCCCACAGCATCTCCACTAGATTTTACTAGTCTGTCATCTGTTAAAATGGATATAAAATTAGCCCTGCTTTCCTACTGTCTCACCTGTTTGGGAAGAAGGAGAAAAGCAGGAAATACAGACAGAGCATGAGGTCTAAATCTTGTGACATAAGGATAATTCTGCTTATTTAAAAAAGAACATCTTAGAATATTTTCTCATGAGGGATGCAGTTTGAAAGCAGTCTAAGAGGTTTTCAACAATTATGGTTCATGTATCTAGAAATAATCTAAATGGTTAGTAAAATGTTGACTGGAAGATAAACATATTTATATGAAACTCGATATTAAAACTGCTTTATTGCTTTTTTGACACTTCAAATGCAGGAAGCTGTCTAGTCCTTTTACTAACACCCTTCAGAAACGTTAATCAGACTTTTTCCTGCTATATTTTAAATGGAAGAGGTGGTGTAAACAACACTGCAGATGGGTTTCTTTGCTCTGCTGGGGTATCCAGCTATCCTTCAACCCACCAGACAGACTTTTGTTTACACATTCCACATAAAATTGTTCAAGAACTTTTAACTCATGCCAAGATCCAAAGCTCTGTGCATTCGCTGGACCAAGAGCACGTT